AGGAAAAGAACAAAAATTGTCGTCCCATAAAGACGAATACGATCGGTTGGAAGCTATCGAAGAACGTAAGATCAACGCAATTGTTTATTCATTTATTATTAATTTGTTTGTTTGTTTCTTTCTTTTTAATTTGCCATTCACTCCCTATCTCATTTTCTTTTATCGAAAACTCGTCAGTTCGTTCGACAAACGAGACGTCGAAAACTTACAGCACCATCGTCCAAGCACCATCATCATCATCATCATCATCATCATCATCATCAACGTCATCGAAATATCATGAAGAAAGAATTTAACAAGACAATAAATGAACCTCGTTAAATTTCTTCCCACGAATTCATCGTTGAAAGTTCGAGAAAACTTGAGAAAATAAAACAAAACAAAAACAAAAAGGAAGTGGATCACCTAATCGATTTTGAAAATGATTTTCCAATCGATGATAGATGATCGTTCGATCGTAGGATCGAGGACCATTTTCAGACGCTGTCAGAAGCGACAGACATAGGCCTTTTGTAAATGGGTGCTGGTATCCTCGAAAAGCCACCCCTTTCCGAAGCAGCTTTGGGATCCTTTCTTGGACTGGCAACTATTTGACTGTCCTGAGGAAGAACTACGGTACCATTTCCATCGATCCATGCTCTGGTAAATTCAAGGGTTGGATCGTTCTCACTGTGACTGTTCACTTGATAATCCCTCAAAAGATCCTGAAGTTTTTGTACTACTTCTCGATCATCCCTCAAGTGTCCAACTTTTTGTAGAATCTGTTCCAACAATGGATTGGCCACCTTGGTCGGTGAGGATTGAAGGGAACAACCTCCTCCTTGGGTTGTCGTCGATTGTTTGATTCTACGACCGTTTCTGTCGTATTGTACTCCACCCCCGTTGCTAGCTGGCCTCGGTAAACTTTGTCTGACTGTACTTTTCCTGGAAAAACTTGGCGTGGTAGCACAAGTTGCTGATCCTTGTGGATTCAAAAAGGTATCGGATTGCAAACTAGGCCTCTGTCTAGCCTGTCGACCGTTCCACGTGTTGCTACCGCTGGTGCTAAGCTGACTGGACTTCGGTAACGCCGAAGCTTTACTCAGACTACCAGTCGGTGGTTTTCGTAAACTGTTACGAATAGTCGTACGTTTCAAAGGACTTCCTTCAGGACTCGAATTACTTTCTCGTGGTGTTCTACTACCCGAAGATGTTCGTGACACGTTACTGTTCTCACGTATAACCGAACCAGCTCTGGGTGTACGATCACCCGAAGATGATGCCACACTTCTCGCTGGTGATGCTCTCAGTGGACTACCTGGTCCTATCCTTATCTTTCTTAATCCTGTTTCAATACTTTCCGTTTCTACACATGATCTCTCCTCGTGCTCCATTTTTGTGGGTTGCTCTGTAACATAAAACAAAAAACAAACGTTCTTTTCACCTGCACGTATTTAATACACACACTTTTTGTTTGTCAATGAAATTGATTGTTTGAACAAATATTATATTGTACGTTTATAAATCAATTATTATCGGAAAGGACAAAATAATGATCGATCTTTCTTTTTCTTTCACAGATCGGATCAGATCGGATCTCTGTCGAAAGTTATTTACACGTACGTACATATATATACATGTGTGTGTGTGTGTGTGTATTTCTTTTTCTTGAGTCAACTGGGCGAGTCGAGTACCCTTCTCGCGAATGTAACTTTGGTGTATTCAAGGCGAGTTTATAAGCGTTATCGAGGATCGACCGTTGGCGATTGTTCCGAGGACAGGTTGTTGGAAATCGCCCACGCTTTGAGCGATCCTTCATATAATCCGTCGTCCCGACTAAATGTCAGACCCAACCTCTGTAAGCGGTCTCTCTCTCTCTCTCTCTCTCTCTCTCTCTCATGTGTACTTTGAATATTAATCATTTCTACAGAGTGCTCATATAATGTAAGCAAATTTATTAACTTTTTTACTACTACTTTTCGGAAAAAACCTCACTACTTTTCGAAAAAAATAATAATAATATTATAACAAATAAACCCTACAATTATCCTACTCCTGATATTCTGCAGTCGTCTCATTCTCTCTAACCTTAGTTTTTCGAAGGTTTCACTTCTAGCACGTGTGATCTACCCACATGATATTTTTTTTTTATTCCTACTTTACAAACCAATCCTAAGTGATGGTCATTTCGAGAACGCGTTGTTCATAAATTTATATAACTCAAAAAATTGATTTAAAATACGCCCCTTTCTTAAATTAATCTTCCTCGTTACGTGAATGACATAATCCATAAAAAAAAAAAAAAGAAAAGAAAAGAAAAGAAAAGAAAGAAAAATATTTCAAAAGAAAGTGAACGTTTGATTTAATCGATCGAATGCAGCGCATTTGAAATCTTTGAACATACGCGTGCCTACGTTCATCAAAAACGTTATTTCGAAATAAATTTATAATAAAAAAAATAATGCTCGTTTGTTCTACCTATCAGTTTCTACCTGGTATCATTAAATACGATGACTCTTGAAAAATTACAAAATTACAATTTTTTCATTTTTATTTCGTACCACGCACAGTGACCTATTTTAAAATGTGACTAAATTTAGATTTCATGCGAAATTTGATTTTGAAAACGACACACACACAAAAAAAAATTAAGAATGAAGTAGACAGATAGTTTACAATCGAATTTATTTTGAATAAACATTTCGTGGAAAGATTTTGAGTAGGTCGATCTCTCTCGTAACGTGTTTTTCAAAAATGACGTCAGTACAGAGACCGTAGTTTGGTCGCATCGCAATGCGATAATCTTTATCTGTAAACGGTATTTCCCCTTCTCCCTCTTTCCCCTCCCTCCTTCTCCTCCACCCCCTTCTCATCCACCTCTCTCTCTCTCTCTCTCTCTCTCGTTCGTCTCTTCACTTTCTATTTGTCACGCTGTTTCTATACCGCTTTTAAACAGATCTCGAATACGTAGCTACCTGCGATTTAATTTATTCCGATGTTGTAACACAAGTTGTTAAAACTTTACTTGTCTTCTTGCTTGATATTCTCTTCTTTTCTTGTTCTTTACACGGTATAATATACGCATTAGTATTTATCAAAGTATTTCTTTCCCCTCCATCAACCTTTTGTATCATCATCATCATCATCATCATCATCATCATTATAGTGATCGTTCATACGTACGAGTTGTTGATCAATTTGTTTTTTTTTTTTTTTNTTTTTTTTTAATTTAAAACCAAAGTTCATATCATCCGAAAATTGCGTATTTATTTTAATTAAATATGTTTCTGTATTTATAAATAATTATACAAGTAACAGATATTTTTCTTTTTTTTTTTGGTTCAAGAAAAAATAATTTGAAAGTTTAGAAAGTTGTAGTTTTTCAAATAATTATTAAATTAAAATACTTTGAAAATGTTTAACATTGAAAATACTGAATCTTATCAAAATCATCTATTTTATATTTCTTCATTCGCCCACATAATTTTAAAGTTCATAATAAAATAATAATAATAATAATAAAAATATATTTAAAAAAGAAAGTAAAACGGTGTCAACGTCACGATTATCAATTCGCGAATCTCACGCGTGTCTTTTAAATCTACCTACAATGTTTTCTAATCCCGTATACACCGATCACTTATCGAAAAACGACGAACGAGAGAAAATACAAGGAGGTGATGGTGGTGGAGGATAAGGAGAAGTAAAAATAAATAAAAATCCAAAATAAAAAAAAAGAAAGGATCGTTACGAAGCCAAAATTGGTCGATAAAACGCGTGGGCGATATATTTACTTCGTTGATAGTCCCCGTTTATATTCATTCAGTAAATATACCGAACGAATACTAAACAACTATGACATAAGTGTTGCACATAGTGGATTTTTTACGGGGGCGATTTATTTCTCATCGTCCGAATGAAATTTGACCAAACACATACACGCACACACACACACACACAAGATTCTTGACGATTTACATTAATTTTTTGGCAACAAGGAGAACAACAAAAATATGTCAAAGATATTTAAGATATAAAACTACTCACTTTGAGAATCGGCAACCGTAGGTGACGATGATTGAGCATTTGGAGCAGAATTTCCATTGGCTGTGGTTGTTGTTGTTGTTGTTGTTGGTGGTGGTGGTGGTGGTGGTGGTTGAACGGCACCAAGACTTCGATAACCCTCGTCAGATACTTCGCTGCAATTGTCCGAATGTTCCCCATCACCGTGAAGAGATTTAGCGTAATGTACATTCGATGAAGTGGTGGTTGTATTTGTGGTAGTAGTGGTGATCGTTGAATTGTTGTTAGTATTATTGTCCTTTGTAAAACTTTCCAATGCTGGTTCTTCTTTAATTGCGGGTGGACTTGGAGTTGGACTGCGACTGTTCGAATCCTCTCGGCACTTGTAATTGTAAATCGTAGCCTCGTATTTCGGTGTGTCGTCCTTTTCAACAGCCCTTCGTGCTACTCCACCATCAACCACGTATCTCTTAGCGAACTCCTCCGAAAGCGGCACTTTTGCTTTGATCTCCTGGTGCAACTCTCTCTTCGGATCCTGCTGCGGAATAAAAGAAATTCGCGACAACGTTAGCCTTTTCTTTATTTTTCTATCGACGGATTAAATAACCAAACTTCTTTCTTTCTTTCTTTCTTTCTTTCTTTCATTCATTCCCCGTAAATTCCGAAGCTTCTTTCGGTAAACCCAGCGTGCCAATTTTTTCCCCACCTCTCAGTTGTTTCTTTTGTTGTTGTTTGATCAAGAACGAATTTCAAACCCATCCCCCATCCACCCTGTTCTTCTACTTCTTCTTCATCATCAGCAACATTTCGCGCACAAAGGTTTGTTTTACTTCTTCCCTCGGCAAAAATACATAATCCCTTTTTTTTTCTGTTCTTTACAAAAGTTTGCTGTTTGTTTGTTTTTTTTTCTCTCTTCGTTTCTCGAACGGCTTTGCAATTTCCCCCCCCCCCATTACGGTCGCGGAATAAATTCGTCTACTGTTTGCATTCCACGCGAGACGAGAGGAGTTTCTATTTATATGTTTACCACGTAGTACCAGAGAGAGAGGAATACGCGAACACAAGCGTGTACGAGGAGTATAAAGTCTGATGATTATCTCTCTTTGAATAATATAGTCCGTGGAAACGAATGAGAGAAAGAAAAAAAGATACCCCCATGAGAATGCGTAAACAACGTTAATCCGTTTTTTTATTTTCATTAAGAAAAAAAAAAAATAAAATAAAAGAAATAATCTAAGGGATTATTTATCACGAATGAAAAATCAACTCTTACCGATGAATGTTTGGTCTGAAATTGATGAACAGAGGTACGATAATCATCGTTGAAAATCTTTTTGGGTGAATCGACGACACTGTATGGTGGTATTTTGACGTGTTGATGGGAATCTACCTTGGGTGTTGGACTTCTAGATCCCAAGGTTACTTTGGGCGTGGGTGACCTCGATCTTTGTTTCCCAGAGTATTCAGGAGTGGTCGTAGTAACTTGTTGATGATGAGTCGGACTGTTAAAGAATTTTCTCTGGGGTGTTGGACTCCTCGAACGATTAATCTTTTTCTGTTGATCTTCTCCTAGTTGTTGATGATGATGATGATGGTGATGCTGTTGTTGTTGTTGTTGTTGTTGATGGTGATGATAGTAATGTTGGTGTTTGTTGGTTTGCTGAGGTGTGGGCGATCTCGAACGATTGTTGGAAACGCTTCTGGGCGCGTGCAGCTGTCCGAGAGTTCCTGCCGCAGTTGCAGTAGTTGCAGTTGCTGTTGATGTTGGTGCTGATGTTGCTGCTGCTGCTGCTGATTGCTGATTCTGCAATGTTGTGCCAGCGCAAGAACCAACGCTCGACGCGGAACTTCTTCGAGTCCTTGGAGGTGATCTGAGAATCGGAAGAGAAAAGAGAATGAGAAGGGTCGACGTATAAATCAACGTGGAAATGTTGGAAGCTTTTAAAGCTCTCTCTCTCTCTCTCTCTCTTTCTGATATACGAACGAAAGATTTATCTTCAGCAACTTGTTCGTAATACAAACTACAATTCTCTGACGGATTACTCGTATGAATAAATACCGAGCTATTGTTTGATATCTTTATATGTGTGTGTTGTGTCTATGTCGTAACATAGATCCTAGAGAAGAATATCGAATCTTCGTCTTCGTCGTCGTCGTCGTCGTCGTCGTCAACTATCTCAATGCTTGCACACGTCTGTGTGTGTGTTTTCTTTTCTAACTCCCACGTGAGTTTTTTTCCTTCTTCTCTGGGATCTTATCTCTGAATTTTGTAAAATATCTCTTTTCTTTATTTAATAAATGATTTTCTCTTTTATTTATACGATTACTAAATTCGTCTGTACTTTTTTTGTTTTTTGTTTTTTTTTTCAAAGTAACTTGAGTATTGTTCAAAGAAACGTCGACGTTTGGTAAGATTGAGATAGTGCAAAGTTTGTTGTTGTATTATTCAACGGAATGTACAATTTACAATGCAGAAATAGGAGAGAAGAGTTTAGTACGATCAAAATGTATGCTGGAATTGTAGATTTATTTATTTATTATAAGTTTCGATTCGAGGAAATTCAGAATATTTTATGCATCAATATATTATTTGTATGCATTTATGTTCACATGAGTGCTTGCGTGAATGTTTATATGTATAATGTGTACAATGTATGACTAAACGACGATAGGATTAATGGAAAAATCGATCTTTCCATATAACGTAACTAATGAAAGGTCTCCTTTTTAAAAAGAGAATCGATAATCGACGCCGATTATCATCTCGTTGTCTCTTGATCCCATTCCAAGAATACTATTAAATCTATCAAGGTGAGCATGGCATTATCGACGACATAAGTATACATTTATAGAAAGATATAGGTATAGGTATATATATATATATATTTCTTTTCTGAGAAAATAACAATTCTCCAATTGGACAAATATATCATTGAATTTATGACTATGTGTGTAATGTGTGTAAGACAAATGTATATAATTCGACTTTAATGGAAGATAATTCGATTGGTTAACTATTATTAATGTGGGTGCAAATTTGTACCTTTCGTAATGCACCTGCGCGCTTCCAAGATCGAACGAACCTCCTGCCTTTTGTATCAGCTTTGCGGAAATCATCGAACGATGTGCTAAAAAAAAAAAACAAATTATTTATTAAGTTGATGCAATAATATTCCATAAAAGAACACACACGCACACACCGAAGTGTAATTTAATTTCAATTCAAATGAACAATCACGTATGTAAAAATGATTTTGCAAAAATTTCATACAAAAGTTTTATAAATTGAAACTTACAAGTTCTGCATCGACATGGATCATGTTTGTCCAAATAATGACTGAGAGTGTCCCAACCACCACCAACACGAACCATCACGTGACTACGTAGAATACGAACGAAAATGAGTACTTTAGTATCACCAATACGATATTTTCCTTCTGATACACGAATCATTGGGAATTGTGTTGGACAGGTGCATCTTTCGACTAAATCTCGTACCTGAAATCAAAAATAAATGATATACATCTTTAATTGTCCTAAGTATTTACATAATAATTGCATACGTAAGTTACGTAATGTGTGTGTGTTTTTTTTTAATAATAATTGAATTATCGAAAAATGTTGCAATGTTATATAATGCACGAGAAGATGAAAGATTAAACGTAAGATAAAATCAAACAAATTATTATTTTAATATTTCATTATTGTAATTGTGATGAACATTCAATACGAGTTGTTTCAAAGTAAACGAACGAATTGTAATTACATGGGGGTAGTTTTGGTAAAACTAAAATAAAAAAGAGGTACATGCAATCATATGCCAAATACGAATCTCATTTTCGTACTTTATAGTTGCTGTTACATGACATTCATAAAAATAAAAAGTTTCATTTTTGATGCGGGCTTCATCACAGGAAAGTTTTATCACAGATTTTTCTCTCGTTAGGTTCAAAAATATCACAAAAGGGTTTTTGAAAAAGATGACGTAGTTTGTCGACATCGGTGCATCGTAAGTGAAAAACTTGATACGTTCGAAGGAATAAAAATTCCATGGTATTTAGACCAAATAATTCGTGCTGACCGATTAATTAACGACCAATTTCATTTATTTGTCTCACTTAAGATAAAAAAGTATACTTTATAAATAATTGAAACGAATGGGTCAAGTCAAAGTAACACCAATTATTTCGAAAGATAAAAAGAAGTATAATCATTTCGGAAACGAGGTCATATAGATGATGATAGATACATAAACTACCCTTTTAAAAAGAAAAGAACAAAAAAACAGATGTGTGCAGATCACACACGGTAAAAGTGAAACACCTTCAAAGAAAACCAAGTTTTAAAATAATTGAATTGTAATACAGCGCTATCTTATTGAAAGAACCTTTACAGAACTTAGATAACATCTAAATAAAAATTGTGCTATGTGCTAAGTTGGAAAAAAAATCACGTGTGAAATAAAATTAAATTTCATTAAAATAAGTTGAGTAGTTGTTGGAATTATTAGTGGACAAACATATTGTTACGATGAATTTTTATATATAAAATTTAATTAATTAATTAATTAACTATATAGAATTAAATGATATATTGAATTTTATTAATTAATTAATTATTTTAGTATCATCGGTTTAACGTTCTTCCGTTTCACGATTTTCAAATCACCCTGCCTGATTCTAAAGAAGTTATCACTTGAAAAAAAAATAATGCCCACATATTTTGAGACAGTCTGTACATATACATAAGCAAGTACATACGTGTGTATATATTTTTAAACGTCCGTGAGAATATTAGATGGGAAAGAGAGAAGTGTTTACGTAATTGTATATAAACGTTTCTTGTCGATGATTATAAATTAAAGAGTGTCGAGTGTCGTCGTAGTTGTTGTCGTCGTCGTCGTCGTCGTCGTCGTCGTCGTCGTCGTCGTCGTGAGATTTCTTCTAAAGAAGAAAAAAGAAGGAAAAGAAAAAGAAAAAGGGAAAAAAAAAGGAAAGGAAAGGAAAGGAAACGTTACGCGTTTCGCGTTTTCTCGCTAATGCCACGAAAGAACGGGGCAGGCATGTAATTGGCTTTACACGGGCGAATTCTGTTTTTGGTAAAGCGTGAGTCAGAAACGAACACGCGGTGAGGATCGTTGAAAACGATTGAAAAAGACGCCCGCCGAAGCAATTTTACCTGGTTCGGCCTTGTTAACGAAACGAACGCCCATTTAGGACCTCCATCTGACTTACAGCTCTTCCAAGAATTTCGTTTCCACCTCCCCCAACCCCCATTTAACTGTCCTCCACTGTCCGCTAATTATTGCAAGCCTTATAGTTAGTTCTCTCTTTCTATCTGTGTGCTCGAACTATTGCGAGTAACATTTCAAAAAGGTAAAACTAAACGACACTTGATTCCTTTATGTCTATCTCTCTTTTTTTTTTTTTTTAAACCCCCTCTTCGTAACTTTGTACTTTGTCTACTGTGTTTATAATGAACGATTGTTTTTGATAAAGGAAAATGTTTAGAATCATAAGGTTTTTTTTGATAACGAGTGTATTGAATAATTTTGTATAAATTAAATACAAAAATTAGGCGAGTTATATTTAATAAAATTTATATTAAACAACGTATGAATTACTGTAATTATTGGCTTGGCAAATAAATAATTACGAATTTTGTTAATAGGTGGTTTTTTAACATTTGCAATGACAATAATTTTGTATAAATTAAATACAAAAATTAGGCGAGTTAGATTTAATAAAATTTATATTAAACAACATTAGTTTATTTTTATCTAATTTTCTATTTCATACAAATTTATATACCACAAAGTCAAAAATTAATTTCAACTACAAATCACTGTAGTTAAAATTAATGATAATTTTAATTTATTTATTTCTCACCTCAACAACAACACATTTTTATTATCACCAAATAGAATTTCGTGAAAAGAAAAAAAAGGAAATATATTTGATAGTGTGGTACTTTAAAATAGTTGACTTTTCAAACGAAAGAAAAGAAAAGAAAAGAAAAAGAAAAAGAAAAAGAAAAAAAAAACCATGGAGAATATATGTTACAGTAAATGATTTCCAAGTAGCGTTTAAGAAACGTGTCAATAATGGTTGATGTCAGTGAGAATAAAGAAGATAGGAAAGGATCTTAAAACACACCTTGTAGATGAAACACGGCGAATGATTAGAAAGGCTTTGAGAGTCTCTTGAGAAGGTAAAAGACCGCCTTGGTGTTGCTGCTCTTCTCTACGTGGAATGTCAAGGGACAAACAAACACGCGACAGGAGAAGACATTTCAAAAGAAATGATTTGTTCAAATATCGAAGAATAATTAGATAACATTAGACATTAGAGAAGGACCTAACGTATTACTTTAGACTACTAAAAAAAATAATAATAATAATAATAATAATAATAATAATAAAAGGATTTATTCGAGTATTCTTCTTACGTCTTTATAGTAAGCTGATTATAGTTCTTACAAAAATAGACACTTTTCTAACGCTCACGTGACATGGAAAAAAAGTAATAACTAAATCTTTCGAATCTTTAGAAGATTATAACGTGATACGATATTATTACATTTAATAATATATTCTTTTTATGTTGGTATTATTGTCTAATGGATATATTCACTTGGTTTTTGTTCATTAATTTATTAAAGTGTTTATAATTATTTGCTACAATGATGGTACGTTAAAATAGTATATTGAAATTTATAAAAATTAATTATATTATATAATATGATTGTAATATAATTTTATTTTATTTTATTATTATATTATTATAATATAATATTATTTATAATTATTTTTTTTATTTATATATTAATATAGATAATTTTTATTAATTATTTGGTACGACGATGGTACGTCAAAATAGTATATTGGAATTTAAACAAAATAAATTATATTATTAATATATATATATAATATAATATAATTAAATCGATTATATTAATAATATTTAATTAATATTAAAATATACAAAATTTTTAGAAATATATCATCTTATTTCTTAATTCTATTTTATTTTATTACACAAAAAATATATATATATATAATAATAACATTACGTAAATAAATTTTTTTTGATTTTGTGTTAATATTAAAAATAATATATTACATATCATATAATTAATTAAGATATCACAAAAACAAATTAGTACATTTGTAATAAATTACTTTTGTTGACTTACAATTAGTACTATATCATTAATTTAACTAATACAACAAAATATTTTCTATTACCGATGAAAGAAATAAAAAAAAAAAAAAAAAGAAACTAAAATGATTACAAGAGACAATTGTATTTTCTCAAGAGTGTACCGTTCGTTTATTCGTTTGATAAATCCACGAATGGAAGCTGTACAGGTAAAAGAAGAATAAGAAAGAGAAAGATATTTCATGTACGTCGGACACGTTTCACGCCTCGCTCAAGACCAGCGTTTTCTTCGTTCATGAACGCGCACAGGTTTCGTTTCGTTCCTTGTTTTTTCCCCCTTTTTTTTTTTTTTTTTTAACACGATGAGAGAGAGAGAGAGAGAGAGAGAAAGAGAGAGAGGGAAAGAGCATCCTTTTTCCACGGCGTGACACTAGCGATATATCTTACCTCGTGGCCGTCGTTCGCGCGTGGTACACGGATGACATATTGCTCGAGTAGTAAACCTCTTCTCTGCTTCATACCTTATCTAACAATTCCTTCTTATTATCTTTAAATGTTGTCTTATTCTATATTTATTCATCCATTTCTTTAACGATAAATTACGTTATATATAACAAATACCAAGCGTTTACTTATAATTGCATTATTATCACATTTTTATTTTTAATTGATATTCTAGTTTTTTTTTTTTTTTTTCATATACCTATGTATGTGAATTTCAGTTAATATATTTTTTCTAATTAATCTATCAGTATACATATATAATATAATTAATTAATTAATTAATATATATAATTATATATTATAATTTATTTTTATAAATTCCAATATATACTATTTTGACGTATCATCGTTGTACCAAATAATTAATAAAAATTATTATATATTAATATATAATTAAAACAATAATTATAAATTATATTATATTATAATAATATAATAATAAAATAAAATTAAATTATGTTATAATAATATAATTATATAATATAATTTATTTTTATAAATTCCAATATACTATTTTGACGTATCATCGTTGCACCAAATAATTAATAAAAAATATATATATTAATATATAATTAAAAAAATAATTTAATATATTAATACATTGATTATTATTAATAAAATATATTTATAAATATATTTAATATTAAATAAATATATTTTAATATTAACAAAATCATAAAAATTTGTTTACTTAAGGTCACTAATATATATTTTATGTTTAATAAAAGAAAATATAAAATTAATAAGATATCTTTCAATATTTACTATTATAATTAAATAAAATAAACTTATCTACACTAATTGCGATTATTTTCAACTACGATTTTAAAGAAA